AATAGAATGCGTAGCGGAGAATATAGATTTACATTGTTGAACTAATAATAATAAATGTGAAAATGAGACCGCGGTAGATCGCCAGCCATGGTCGTGATAGTTTTCATTTGAAGACTTTGGAGTTTGTTAATGTTTTATAACAACATCCTCAAACCTTTTATAAGTTGAAATATGTTTGTGGTCATTATATAAATCGTCGACTGTAATATAATTAACTGTTATCATATGTAATTAAGATTATTCAACAACAACAACAACAACAAAACAAAACAATACACATCAAACTTTTTAGGCTTTACATGGACTTTCCAAGTCAAATGCATGGAATTCAGACATGACATCTACGCTATTTAGAAAATTTATTAATACTAAATTGAGTGCACTTCCTTATTATTTAGAGATAATTTTGAGAAATACATATTTATATGGGCCTTAAAAAATGTTTCAAGTTGGGTATTTATTTTTTGTGTAGTAAGTTAGGAGGATATTCTTCATGCTGAATTTAAATAAATTGATCATTCATATCGTATAAACTCACTAACAATAATGTTTTGCTGTAGTGTCATGGATAGTATTTAATTTATATTTTACAGTGTACCATACTTTTATATTTTAGGGGGAATACAAATTTAGTAAATTAGATCATACACATTAGTGCAATGCTATTGCAATAATGTTGGTAAATGATATAAAACCCCTCAAAACTTTCTTTTATTGCTTTGTTTCGTTATTTGGACAAAATGGAATTTAAACCCCTAAAGTCCTGGTTAAAATCACTTTAACTTGTTATTTTACATTAGACCTGAAATCTAACGCATGCATTCTACTGACAGAACAGGATATATTTTACGTAGATGTTTAAATAAGGTAAAGAAAAACTTAATTAAAGAGGTAAAATTCATAACTTTATGGCAGTATAAAAATGTTTCTCATTTTATATCTACTAAGGATCAAACCCATAAGGAGTACAGAAGTTCTGTTGTCTGTCATTTTAAATGTCCAGGCTGCAATAGTGTTTATATTGGTAAGACAGATAGGTGCTTACTAACTAGACTTAAAGAACATTCTTCACGATCTGATAGTGTTATATTTGATCGTGTTAAAGACTGTGAGGCATTCCAATATGTTTTAGGATTACAGGGTATACTTGAAAATGATAATGTCGTCTGTAATGTAAGTAATAAATTGGGTTTAATATTTTCTAGTACTAACATTATTGACAGCTCCCGAAACTGGTCTATCCTATTGTTTAAAGAAGCGTTCGCTATACGTAGACTACACCCTTTGGCTAACAATGGGCTCAGAGCTTCAAAAGAGCTTTCTTTGTTTTTGTAGGTATCTTTGATCATTAGAGTAAGAATGCTTTGATCTTTTGTCTTTTTTAAATCTTTTTGTTTTTTAAATCACTGCTATGTCACCTACTAGAGGCAATGTTTTGATTGGTTAAACACTTTTGGTACTGGTGCATATAAGCTTGCTAATATGGATAATTTTTTCATTCCTGATGGTGACATAATTAATGTCGAAATATTGAATCCCAACACGATGGTGTGTATTTCAATACTTGGTGTATGTATTATACTTTCTTAGAACAGGATATAATGTCTAACATGAGATTGTTCCTGCTTAATTGGTTTAATTGGTCAAATTGGACATAATTCGGAAAAGCGAATTATGTCCATTTTGACTGGGTTATAGTAAAAGAATAATTAAAAAAGTGAAGTACCCTATGTATTTCTGTTGTGTAGCACATTTACACAAAACAATCAATAGAATTCATTTCCACAACAAAGGACTGATAAGAAACGCGTTTTGCTCAATACCTCAAAACTATAATTTTGGCTTATAATGCGTTTTCCCGAATCATAGTATTAGTACTATTAATACCATTAGTATTAGGAATACTATTAGTATTAGTGGGCCTATGAGTCGTAATACTGAACATTTTTCATTATTTCTTCTAAACGTTGTTCTTCCTGTTGTAAAATATCACAAGTTTTCACATATTTTATAGAACTCTCTAAAAAAGTCAAAATCGAACACTCCTTGGATTACACGTTCCTTTTCCTAAACTCGATTGCGTTTACAACGAAACATTTTAGCACATGCGTTGCAACTACATAATTTTGGGCATGGCCGGTTTGAGTTGCCACGGAGTGTTTACAAAAGGGCTAAATGCTACACGGCTGGAGATATATCAATGAATGGCACAATGGACACGATCGAGTTATAAACAGTGGTTGCGCCAGTGGGGGCAGGGGGAACCTCCCCCCCCCCCCCCC